CAGGCTGCAGGAGGAACTAAAGCAAGCCTGGCCCCTGCTGGCCCCGGGACRGCTCCTGCTGCCCAAAGCACCACAAACTCCGGCTGGAAGGCTTTGTCAGCACGTCACAGACTCACTGCAAGAGCTGCTTCAAACATTAGCCACTAATGAGTCAACAATTACGGAATTCTGCGTTAATTATTAAAATTTTACACCTAAAAACAAATAGAAAGAAATGCTTCTCCTTTTTTTTTCTTTTTCCAACAGTACTTTTATTTATTTATTTTAAAGCAGGTGATTATTTTTTCTTCTGCTTCAGAGCCTTGATTCACTTCCTGCAGGTGTCCTGCTGCTTCTTGGGGGGGATTTCACTAATGCAGGAAGACATTTGCCAGAAAACATCTGTTGGAGAAGGATATTGAACACCGAAACTGCAGTCAGAGGGTTATTTTGGATAACAGGAGGATGTCGTTCACACAGCACAGGATGTCTAAGGGCTTATGAAGTGTCTCAGCACACAATGATGTGACTCCAGAAAAATGCTCAGGAATCTGTGCATGTTTTACAGGATAATGCCAGGACTGCGTCCATTGCTGCACACACAGCTGAACAGTCAGCTCCACCTYTCCCTCAGATTCCTTTCACCAGGCTGTATTTTCTGGTTTGCACTCATTTTTCCCCCCCTAATTTTCCAAAAATGATCCCTGCTCTAAAATAAAAATAAGCCCTCACTGTGCCCTTTTCATCAGGCCCTGCAGAGAAAAATCTCATCTTAAAGACAATAATACACTAAAAATCCAAGTCTTTTGTGGTTTCCTCACTCAGAATTCAGGATTAAAGTTTACTTTCAGGGGAAATGTCCAAGTTCTAATATTTATGAATAATTCTGGACATTTATCTCAGAATATCTAGAAGAGAAAGTGCTCTAAAATGACACATAAATAAGAATTTAAACACTCTACATCTCTACAAGCAAAGAGTGAAGCCAGATCTCTAAAACTGTAATTTCAAATTGCAAACATAGGGAAAGTCAGTGCAAAAAGAAACAGAGCTCCTTTAAGAAATGGAAAATAACGTTTTGGTAAAGAAGCAAAAATTCTTTTTAAATGGTTCAGTCAGACAAAATACAGAGATAAAGCTGATTTTAAATGCTCACATTACGTGACCATAAACTGGGGGAAATGAAACCTCTGGTGACTCAGCAGGAATCTGGGAGGATATTACAGATCCTGGAGGAGGTCACAAACCAGAACTTTGTTAAACAGAACTGAAACACATAAAGAAATTGGCTGAACTATTTTTACACACTRTCACCAGAGCAAAACACTGCACAAAGGCTGTTCTGTGCTGCAGGTTCACCTCACAGACTGGAAATGAAGCAGAATCGTGGGCAATTTGCAGTTTCTAATAAAAGGGAAGTGCATTTGGAAACCCAAGGCTCGGTTTTCAAATCTYAACAATTTAATGACCCCCAATTTAAAGCCGGGGTTGGTTTGGTTTCTTTTGACTGTCCCAGCTGCAATCACTCCTGTCTGGGGAAATGGAGTGTTATTATGATATTTCTAAAGGGAGCATCATGTTGCATTCCCCAGCTGGGAAGCAACCTATTCCAGGATTTCCTTCCCCTCGGGGAGGGACAGTTAATGCCAGGCCATTATCTGCTGTGAGCAGGAAATTATGCTAGGAGCCTTCAGCTACTTAAGCCTTCTCCTTCAAAGCCCCATTAAGGCAGCCAGGCTGAGGTTCAGCATTAAAGCAAAAGACTCCCAGGCACTCAGGTTTTTGCAAGATGCTCAGACAGGACAGTTCAAGTGGGTGGGAGAGGTCTGAGAAGAGCAAAGGGTGTCACTTCTTCAGGAACCTGGCAGCAATTTCAAACAGCAGAATTCAGAAAAATTGCTCATTCTGGGACAAAAGCCAAAGGCATTGGCAGTCCCTCTCACAGCATTTTGTGACCTCTCCTCGGGTTTGGGACACACCACATGTTTCAGGCACGTGATTCATTCTGAAACACATGCTGCAGTATGAGGGGCAGAGGTTTTGTTCTCACAGTATCTAGTCATGGAATTGAATGAATGTACAATTCCTCACAGAAAAAACTCAGGGAGAAATGTCCAATGTTCCTCTGCCTCCCACCAGGTCAGTSTGGGCTCTGCAGACTCAGGAGCTGGGGAGGGGATGCCAAGAAACAACTGTTCCCTGCTGCCCTGAGTTCTAAAAATATTCAAACAATGAAAATCCAGCCTAAAAAASTCACTAAACAGAGTTAAAACCAAAGCAGAACAAATTCAGGAAAGCAGAAAATTTACCTTTAGTAAATAAAGAGAACTCTGGTTCTTGGGAGAGTGGAAAACGTATCTGGCATCTTCCTAACCTTTGCATAATTAATAAATCCTCTGAGAAACAGCAGAAAACCTGGAGGGAAGAGACACATTTGTCCAGTYAGCACAGGTGTTGTTTCTTCAGTGAGGGAGCAGCTGAACTCCCTGTCAGCACTGCAGAGGGACCTCATCCCTGGGATGCACAGCAGTTCACCACACACAGTAATTATTTTTGGTAGCAATAACACCTCATCTTTCCATTTCAGGCAACTTCAAAAACGAACTTTCCTTGGGCAATCACAAAGCTTTTGAATCCAAATGAGATCCAGTCAYTCCCAAAGCAGGAAATAGAAAATCAAATGAGGAAGGCAACAATCCACTYTTCCATTTGAGATGCAAGAGCAGACACAACAGCAGTTACAAGCATTATTCTCTTCTCAACCTCTGGATGATATCAGGATGCTGCTACCAAGTAATGGCAAGGGAAGGACAGGATTTACACATGCCTCTAAAACCTGAATGTGTTCAGTCAGAGGAGTATATGGGTCACATTTCATCTGTACATCTGAACACAYATTTAACAGCCAGGAAAGCTCACAAAATCCTAAATGCACTGTGCAGAGTTTTTAAGCATTTCCCCCCCCTCCCCAAACACTCACCTAGTACAAGGAAGACCCACCAAAGCCAGTACTGGCCATCGAAGTAACCAGGAAAATAGGTGGAGAACTGAAAAACAGCCAAAAAATGTACAGCTTAGAGCACATGGAAGTTTGTGAAGCCAAATCTATTCCCACCAAGTCCAGCAGTAACCAGATCAAGGCTGCACACAAGAGACCTCCTGGAATGCTGCATTTCCCCAGCTGCACAAACTGTTATTTATGGGATTTCTGCACACACCAGCCCAGCTCTTACAAGGGGAATGGGGCAGATAMAACACCCAGCTATGAACTCTGACAATCAGGGAGGCACAAGGACACTACTGGGCAAATATTCCTGTTTTAAAATGTGTCCTGGTGCTTCCAAAGCACAGCTGCAGCTTCTRACAGGGCAGAGCAGGTTTGCAGCARTGCAGCACATTCATTGCACTGTAARGTTGGATGGAGTAACAGTTGGGAAAGGAATTCCAGCCCCATGGAACCCACTGACAAGATTCCCAACTGGGAAAATTGAAGAGATGCTGTATTTACAAATTAGAATTCCCAGCCCCTGAGGGATGAGGTAGGAAATGACAGCTCCAACATTAATGCTCTCTACTGCTACTTACAGMCAATGAGCTGCTTTGCTTCAAATTCAACTTTCAGCCTGGAATGCCTGTGTGCCATCATTSCACAGGCTCCAAATAAAGATTTCCTGATGAAAACATTTTCACCTAACCCTCCAAAAAAAAACCAAGAGCCCAAAACCCTAGAGCAGRATGGCAGCTGGCTCCTGATCCCTGCTCCTGTGGCGCAGAGGCTGCACCAGAGGGCACCCACGGCCTTCTCCCTCTGCTGCTCCAAACCTCGCTCCTCCCCACCTCCCTGTTTCCCTCTTCTCACCAGCTATCCCGCATTTTAGAGAATTTCCTCTTTTCCAGAGGACAGCCTAAGGCACAGCAGRCTGCAGAGGCTGAAGGCAGGGCTGGGTTAATGCTTTGCCAGGATCAGAGCTGCTCAGCACAAACCACACTCTGACCCAGGATAGCAGCTCTGTCAGACAGACACACGCTCAGAATGACTCCTAAGATCCCAGAGTGGGCTGGGCTGGAAAGGATCCTACAGCTCCTCTATTCTGCCACAGACAGAAACACCTTCCACTATCCCAGATTGCTCCAARCCCTGTCCAGGCCTTGGACACTTCCAGGACTGGAGCATCCACAACACAAACCTSGGTGTGCAATCTTTCTTTTCCTTTATTACATTTCTAATTCCAGCATATGTACAGGACATAATACAGAAAAATCTCTGTTTTAAGTAAATAAATTAAGGCTCAAAAATTATTTCATTATTTAAAAAAAAACCCTGAATCGTTCACTAACTTCAGTATGTGCTAAAAACCTGATGGGGAAAAAGAGTATCAGTGTCAGTGTAGGTGGTTTTGCACCACACAACTCACCCTGACAATAAGGATCCATTTAATAAGAGACAGACCAAACCCAGAAATGGCCCCATATCGTCCTGCAGCTGAAGTAGTCAGGCAGAAGGACAGGAAAAATCCAATCCAGTTGAAGAGGAATGCCACTGAGAAAGCAGGAGAAAAGCAGCAGGTCAAGACACATTTATATTACAAGGGAAAAAAACCATAAACCCCTTGCACATAGGTTTTTCCTGGTGCTTCAGAAACATAAATGTGACCCAAAATATCCTGGGTCACTGCTTGAAAAAGAAGTTCATTCCATGATGTACTTACTGAAGAAAGTCAGCATGAAAATGCCATCATTTCCTATCCTCAGCTGGTCAGTGTCATCAAAGTCATCCCGTGTCACAAAATCATCATCCTGCAAAGCAGAGGGAGGCAGCACATGGGGGGATTTAGATCAGTCCAGTCCATACAGCAACCCCAGTTCTGCCTGTGACTCTTCAAGAAAGGGCTGGAATCCTAAATCTCAAAAGGCTACAAATGTAAGCACAGAAAAATTTCTGCTTCTCATCCTGAAATGGTGCAGGGCATGAAATGTTATCTGTATAATATGAAATGTGTCTTTATTTTTAACATAGTCAAGATCCAGCATGTTCTTGTTCTCACTGTGAAGAATTCTTCTACTCATCAAAAAATTATCATCTCAGCAAGGAATTTGGCTTCTGTGAAGAAGTGTAATGAGCAGTGGACTTCTACTGCTAGCAGGGGTGGAGGGAGTGGCTGAACAGAGATAATGTTGAAAAAAACAAAAAGAAATAATTCTGACAAGTCTTATCATCCTTGTATCAGCTACACTGACCTCCAGAAAAATCAACTAAGTAAGCATCAGGAGTATCAAGGGTAGATATGCSAGACAGCTGAAGAATTAATCCTAAATCTTTTTTAAAAACAAGAAAAAAAAAACAACAAAACCCCCAGTGTCAGTGCACAGGGATACAGTACAGTCCCTCTGTCAGCTTGCCAAGCCTAATCTGGCTAGCACATGCTGGCATTACTGAGATGTCTGACATCATCACAGCGCTCAGAGGAAAATTAAAAAGAAAAAAAAAAATCGCCACAGGGCTCTCAGGAGTRTGGAATATCATCACCCCAGGAAGCTTCAAAAACACAAACAACCCTGACACCAATATAAACAGTGATGGCACATGATGGGTACAGCTGAGATGGYACCCCAGCAGTGCAGGGACAGGCAGGGACACTCACCCTGCCAGGRACCAAGGGAATGGTGGCCTCAGCCTTGCTCCTCTCGGCCTCGTCRTAGCTGGGCAGAGTGGTGGCCACGTTGTAGGACGGCGGCTTCGGGAACCCTGACTCATCCTTGTAGTCAAAATAAGCTGCACAAAAACAGGGACACACGGGGGAACTCAGCACTTGTGTAAGAACACCGTGCTGGGAACGAGCAGTGCTCCAGGTGACTTCCAGTGAGCCCCATTCCCCAGGCTCTTGAAACCAGCCCCCTCCCCACCCTCCCACCCATTCCAGCCTCCTGCCAGCCCACAGCAGAAAGTGAGAAGCACAGRAGCACCTTCTGAAATACCCAGCAACCCACAGAACCCTCACTGGACATGCCTGGCTGTGCTTCTGTTTAGAACAACACCACGTACTGTGTCTCTCCTGACTGGGATCCTCGGAAAAAGTCACGTTTCCAGATCCAAGTGGTTATTAAAGTTATTGGTGACAGGACATGAGGATGATTCAAAGTCCCATCCTTATGACCAAGTGCTTAGTTATTGAGAAGTGCAGGAAAAGTGAACTCTTCAAACCTTTTTAAGTAACAAATCCTTTTGGGAAGGAGCACAGCATCATCCAAATGCCAAATCATGAGAGGGGAACCACAAATCCTCACAGCACTTTGATTTTTAATGGTCTTCAGTTTACTGAGAACACTGTGAACTGTAACTTGAACACCCCTCGATGGGATGACATCAGATGAACGCAGCCAAAACGCATCTCCTCAACCACAAGCACCACCAGGCTGTGTGGGTCA